GAATTTAAATAAAAAAACATGAAAATTTAAAAAAACATAAATATTTAAATGCAATAGATGCCTATCAAAATTTAGTTTATATTTCACAAACNATCCCGAAATATCGGTTCGGTATGATTCGGGATGGTTCGGTATCGGTTTCGGTACAAATCGGGATGAATATACATACCTACTTTACACATTAAAATTTAACAATGCTCCTTTATTTTTGAAAATTAAAAAGTGAATTTAAATAAAAAAACATGAAAATTTAAAAAAACATAAATATTTAAATGCAATAGATGCCTATCAAAATTTAGTTTATATTTCACAAACTAAAAAAATGAACGTCAATAAAGGAGTATTTCGAATCTTTGTGAATACTTTTATGTTCATACACAAAAATTTAAAAAAAAATTACACATAATAAAACTTGAACCAATTTTTTTAAAAAACTTACCCGGAGTATTATTTAGTGAAGGAATAGAAAAATATTACTCCGGAGTATTATTTTTTATAATATTTTAGTACTAGTATATATGTTCGGTTCGGGATTTTCGGTATGGGACGTCTCCTCGTACCGTTCCCAAATACCGTACCGACCATTCGGTTCGGTATGGTTCGGTTCCTTCTCAGTATTTTTTTGGTTTGGTATTTTTCGGTTCGGTATTCTCGGTTTTTTCGGGAAATTTCGGTATCGGTTTGTTACTTGCTCACCCCTATTGATTCTTATTGACATATTATCTAAACGTCAAATATAAAAGATCTAGGTTTAATGCATTTCTACAAATCTATGATTCTCTCCTCGTATAAGTTTCAGCATATATTAATACAAAAAGTATTAGTGATTCAATGATTCTTTTTCCTCGCATTAATTTAAAAAAATTGAAATTACTGACCTTAGAAATCTATGATTAAAAAATATGTTTCTTCTCCTCCATATTCATTAAGATTAATGGAAAAAATAATTCCAACTACCCCTTTTCAATGATTATAAAAAAATTTTGTCTCTCGCATTATTAAAAAACAAAATCTTAAATTTGTGACCCTAAATCTCTATTATTAAAATTTTTAATCTTAAAAATTTTAAACTTAATTATTCTTCTCCATGCATTGATTTTAAAAAAACATTAATACAAAAAGAAATATTAGTGCTCCAATTATTCTCACAGGAAAGTGAGAAATATTAATAAGGAGTATATGAGTAAAATATAAGAAAATATCCAAGATAAAACATTCATTTTTTTTATCTCCAAAATAAGAATGTCAATAATACCAACATATAATACCGAAATTATAATGAAATTTCTATATATAGTGTCACATTCTCTCAATCCAATAATACAATTTTGGGATAAAAAAAGCCACTTCTATTATGGCTAAAAAACAATATTTTGTTCCTATGTTGGTTGATAGTATTCTGGTCAATATACAAAATGTCTTATCAAAATACAAATAGTTACAATTTGGAAGTTGTATTTCTCTTTTACGTGATTGTAACTTGTAACTTAGTCTCCATTTTATTAGCTATTGCACCTTGGATTTTCTGCGCACCTTTTCTTGCTTTATTGATTATCCCTACGCCCAAATCTTCATTGTAAGAGAACTTTTCATGCTCCTCTCCACACCTTGATCTTTTTTATTGCAATCTTCTCTGCATAAAATCTGTGTTGTCTCTTAGAATATCATCATATGAAGTCTCTATGTACAATTGCATAAATAAACGTATGAAGTCCTCTCTCTCATTCTGTTTTTCTTATTTTTATGCATAAATATAGTGAATTATAACACAATACAAGTATATGCTGAGTAAATTGTAAGTTAAAGTGCAAAATTATTTTAATTAAAATAGTAAACCAAGTTTCCAAGACAAAGTACAAAAGTCATATTAAATCTTTTTTCTAATTTATTTATTTTAAATATTAAATCATTTAAAAATAGTCAAATCATATATAAATACTTTTATTTCATATCATAATTAGTCGTGTTACCAAAAACAAAAGTTCTAGGTAATATAATTTAAGATATGGATTGAGTTAATCTCATAGTATACGTATTATCTCATTTGTCTAAAAGTGAGGTACATAATAATTACACATATCATTCGCTTAAGTACTTTAGTCACCTAATTATAAATTATAAATTTCGTTGAGTAATATCTATATAATATCTTCTAAGAGCATTCACAATGACAAGTAAGAAATAAAATGACGCACAGTGACATGGAAAATTTTAACCAATAAAAAACAGTCCAGTCAGCGTGTGGCACGAGAGTGGAGTGGCATGTAATGCAGTGGCAAGTCATTGTTTTTATCACTTTTACTTTTTTTACACATTTTAATTATTTAAAGTTATTTTGTTTATAATTTTTCAAATAAAATATTTCAAAATTATTTAAATTATTTAATTTTTTTAATATTTTTATAAACTATACTCTTTTTAAAAATATTTCTTATTTAAAAAAATAAACTTAAAAAATTAGGTTTTTTTTTCAAATTTTACATTTTTTACATATTTCTTATTTTTACTACGGAGTATTAAAAATTAATTTACTTTTTCTAAAAAATACTTTTACTTTTTAAAAATCTTTTATTTTATAGAGAAAAAAAGAAAAGAAAACAGAGAAAGTTGCCTCGCCCATGACTTGCCAAGCATGGCAAATTTCTTCAGCCTTGCGAGGCATTTTACTGATCCAGCTTATGTGGCTGGCGTGGCAGTGGCACAGCCACGCCACTGCCAGTGCTCTAATAAAGTATTTTCCTAAATTAGTCTTATTAATCATTAATTACATATGTAGTACTTTATAATTGAGATTTATTTACTAAGTGTCTTCCGTGTAAAATGTCTGTAAAATTGATATTCAGTGGAGGAAATTTTGGTATTTTTCAACATCTAAACATAAACTAATTTTTCAAATTGACCCTCTCTGATTAACTTTTTTCCAACTTAGGTCTCCATGATTATTATTATTATTATTATTATTATTATTATTATTATTATTATTATTATTATTATTATTATTATTATTATTATTATTATTATTATTATTATTATTATTATTATTATTATTATAAGTATTTTATTATTATTATTATTATTATTACTATAATTATTATTATTATTATTATTATTATTATTATTATTATTATTATTATTATTATTATTATTGTTGTTGTTGTTGTTGTTGTTGTTGTTGTTGTATCCCAATTGTCATTTAGAGGCATCTCAATGTTTTGGGCAAGTCTATGCCAAAATATCCCCTCCTTGGATAATAGTCAAACCGGGAAGTTTTATGTGGGACGGAGGGAGTATGAAGGGAAAACGAGGTTTAATAAAGGTGTAAGACCTTTTACCAAACTGTGTTTTTTAATGGACTCCATAACAAATGTATGTAATATTTGTTCGTAATTTTTTTTCATTGTAATAACACTCAATAAACTAATGTCTTAATTCTGCTGAAGTTTGAATGACTTTTTCATAAATCTTAGAAATGAGCTTCTTACCTCTCAAGCCAAAGGAGAATAACTATTGTGTTTTAGATTATTTCATTTTATTTTATTTTTTAGTCAAACTAAATAAATTTAATACCATAAAAATGATTTTTTTGCAAAAAAAAAAAATTCACTTACCAACCTTTGAAAAGTGTGAGAAGATCCATATTTTACATTTGGACCTTGAAAACACAGTAAAACAACTCTATATAAAAACGTTTTGCATATTAATGCATTGAATAAACTTTTGTGAGTTTTATGTAAAATAAATCTATTTAAATCATTTCTTTGCTAATATGAAATGTAAATTTCATTTAATTCATTAAAGAAACATTCCATTTAGACTTATAAAATTAAACTAAACAAATAAAATCAAATTGAACAAATACTACAAAGTACAAACCGATGTAGTATTTGATAAAGTTTGAAAATTAGTAAACATAGATGGGATAATTTCCTAACCCCATTTGTCTCTCACCCCCTCCTTGTCCACATAATTGGGCAAGAAAATCAAAAATAAATAAATAAAAAAATCAAATAAAAATGGGTGGTAGAGAAGGAGATGATGTACATTTAAGGTACACTTTTGGTGTACCCCTAGCATTGCTCTAAAAGTTATATTGACACTCTCCTCACTATTGACATCAATTAAAATTCGATTGGGTTCTAGAGTCACTCGTTGGAGTGTCTCGGGAGGACACCAACTCAATTAGGACATCTACGGTGATCTATTCGTGAAATTGGTAATTTCTACTCCTAATCTCCCAGAAAATCTCCATTCAGTTCTGACCCCAACACATTCTGTCAATTGCGTGTATAAATTTAGTTATTTTTGTGGCCAAAGTATCAATTCTACGAACGGAATAGATGTCCTAAATTAAATCGGTGTCCTCCAGAACCACTACAAAGGAGTGGCTGTAGAACCAAACCGATTAAAATTGCCGAGATAAAATCTTGCCATCAATTAAATCCACCAAATGACACCCATTTCTCAATCTCATGTTGGTAATATAGCATAATCAGTCACACTACAATGATCCCAAGTTTAACACCACAAACGCCAATCGTGGGTAAATTTGTTCGTTCTAACGATACAACCTCTGTGAATCATCCAATTGCAGTGTCCGCACGAACAATTTTGCAAACGGTTGTCATCCCTGATGTCAAACTTAAAATTTTAATAATTTGTGATCATCATTTGATTTTTCGATCACGGTGTAGACGCTAACCGATATAAGATTCAAACGAAGGATAGAGCAAAACTTCCCTTTTGAGAAACTAAATGCAACACCATTCAAAACAATATAATGCTATATATGGTTAAAGCTTCCAAGAAGTGCAGTTGAGGCACCATGACCAAGTGCCCAACACAAAGGTACCAAAAATCCAACTTGCCCCATTAAACCCGAACAAAGTTTGGATTGCACATGAATCGGTGCCAATCTGAACAAAGTTCGGGCCCAGATCTTCAGGGTAAAAATCCAACTTCAAAAAATGGGGCCCAATTCGGGTTCAAGTCCACCAATCAGACTTCATGTTTCAAACTTATTGAAATAAATTTAAGAATAAGTTGCAAATAATTGACACAAAATGACTTTACTAAAAATGCATATTTATGTGCACAACAATATGCCAAATTGCCAATATATATGAACCTGGAAACAAATGCCAATAAACAGAGTCTTGCCAATAAGCATCATGAGCAACTTGACAAACATAACAAAAAGCATGTCTAGATCTTATCCAGCTTGTCAGCCTTGATGACCGGATTCGCCTTCGCTATCGCATCCCGGGCAGCAGCGCGATAGTCAAAGAGGCAGTTGTGCTTCTCCGAGTAGCGGTGGGACCCACAAAAAACGCCCCCGCAGCGGCATTCAAACCCGGTCAGCCCGACCCGTTTATTGCAAGCGGCGCAACGGGTGGGACCCACCTTGGCCTTGACCTCGGCGGGCTCACCGGAGCTCGAAGCAAGGGAGGAGGGGACGGAAACTTCCACTGCTTCAACTGAAGTGACAAGCGCATCTGCATTGTTATTAGCAACGGCAAGAGGTTGTCCCTTAACAAGATTTTCAATTGATGATGCCGCGAGCTTGGCTTGCTCTTGTTTCAGCACCATATCCTTGTAGCATTTGGAGCACATGTTCATGTTTGCTGCGCTTCCAAAGAAACCGCAGCCTTTGACACACAAAATTGGGCCTTCGTGAGGGGCGGCGTGGCATCCAGTGTCATTGTGATCCATATCTTTTGCAACTGCATTTCCAAACAAGTCATGTTTGAAAAGCTAAAATTTGTTCCCCCAAAAGAAGTCATGTTTAAAAAAGTTATGTGTGGAAAATGTAGTTAAACCAACAAACAGTTTTAAAATATAGATACATTTGATGACTACTACCCATAGTTGTATCTTGAGACAATTTAAAAGCTATATCTTTGCAAGACATGGCTCTACTTATGGGACAGAGGGAGTATTATTTCTTGGCCATAATGCCCACTCTCCCTTTACAAAAACCAAGAAAAATCTCACAATGGAAAGTAGGAAGGGAAGTAGAGAGGCCGTTTCTAAGAGACCCTTGGCTCAAACACCACATCATCACAAACAAAGTACCACAAACAAAATAAAAGCAGAGAGAAAGAGAGAGACTTGACACTAGCAGCAAAGCCCAAAACACAGAATGCACAAGAAAGAAATAAATAAATAAATAAATAAAGAAGTACAATTAACTTGTACAACATATCAGATCCCAAATCCTTGTCCATATGAACAAGTGACCTCAGTTGAAAGGTTTTTTTTTGTTACAAAGACAGATTACCAACAGGCAAAAAGTGTGCCTCTTAAATTCATTTGGTAAGGAATGTTTGGCAGACCTAAATTATATATCCTGAATTTTCTTGAAGATAACAGCTGTTGGAAAAATCAAATACATCTATTATAGCCAAACAAACAAACCAGAAACTACTACGAGTAGTTCTTCCTATCAGCAGAATAATCTGATCAAGGCTACCAAACGGAGCCTTCTTGTCTAGAACAAAAGACATGACTAGATTATATACTCCCTCACTCCGTCCCTAAATAATCTTCGATTTCAGACGATGACGTTTGAATTCGATTCAATTTATTTAAATATTAGTGTAATTTTTTCCAAAAAAGGTAATACGTATAGATTTAAAAACTACACTAAAAACTCTACGGAAAAAGAGAGGATATGGCTATATTCTTTTATCAAACGATCAATAAAAATATATTAAGAAATACAAAGATTAGAAAGAGAAGGAAGGAGAATAATCTGAGAGGATTTACTAAAACCCTAACACACACACACACAAACATATACCCAATCAATTATTCCACAGGTTTTGCTCATAACATGGTTTACAGAGCATAAATCTTAAAGATCCAAATGTTAAAACATCCTCAACGACGCCAGATCTTCCCCAAACAGTCCTAAGAACGATCCATAAACCCAATACCCAGAACAGTTCTTTTAAGAAAACGATCAACGTTAGACAAGAAAAAGAACAAAAAACAACAGATCGATGCAGAAGACGATTGAAATCTCAAAAAACAAAATCAAAATCATTCCGAAACTGACCCAGAGATTGAGAGATCGCAGAATCTGAAGAATTACTGGAAGGATTTTGAAGCTGAATCTCCTTATTCTTCTTCGAATCCCTGACTCGGTAAAGAACGATCTTTGCAGATTGAAGAATTTGATGGAGGGGTTGGTCGGGTGGGTGGGTGGGGGTGGGGTGTTGAGGAGTATTTGTAAGATCCTTAGTGGGCCATTCTTTGATTTTTCTATAACTTCACGACAAGGCCCATATTTTCAAGATGAGTTGTATGATCCTTTGTGGGCCAATCTTTGATCTTTCTTTAACTTTACGGTATGGCCCAATACTTTAAAGGTTTGTGCCCGAATCATGATGGCCTGCCAAGAGACGGCCAATATTTGCCTGTAACTTTAGAGTGTTTAGTAAACATGGGCCTCCCCGTAGGCCCAATGACTTGATCACTTTTAAGTGGATTTGGACATAATATTAAGACCTGGAATTATGGAATATATAATCTATTATCTATGGAAGCGCAAATAATAAATGTTTCTTTCGTCTTTTTTCATGTTAGTATTTATACGGTCAAATCTTAATCATCTTTTTTATCTATTTTCATTAGTTATTTGAACTTCTTATTTTGTAGAACTTTTGATGTAGTTTTTTAATATATAAATATTATTTTTTAATTTTACACCTATAATAAAATAGATTGAATTGAAAATAAAGTCGGTCAAACGTCGTAAATAGAAATGGGAAGAATATTTTACTTCCTCCGTCCCAAATTATAATGCATGTTCACTATTCACAAGGTCAAACTTCATTCACTTTCTTTCTCTATTTTCGTTAGTAATTTGATAAAATAAAATATTGTTGTCACTACTAGTTTTGTAGATCTTTTGATGTAGTATTTTGATATGTAATTTTTATTTTTTAACTTTATACCATTTGTCATATAAAATAATTTGAAAATAACTTTAGTCAAACATCGTAAATCGAAACAGGCGTTATAAAATGGGACGAAGGGAGTAGGACAGAGAGAGTAACATTTAGACGAGTCATAATTACATCATTCGACCATGAGTTCCTTGCTTATGCCTATATTCAGGTGATATATCGAAAACATACTCTGTAATTGTTAGATAACTTTTCTCCGTACACCAAGATGTAGCTAGTGCTATTATGTACTCTATTCGTTCTACAAAAAAATTCACTCTTTTCATTCGTGTTTTCTAACATGATTAGGGTAAGGTTTAACTTTAATCTGAGACGATTGGTCAATAGTGAGTGAGTTTTAATCGTGCTGTTTTTTCATTGGCGTTATCAAAAATTGAATCTAGAGTTATTTCTTTTTGCATTGGTTTTACCAACTAAAAGGATAAGCCACATCCCCGAAGATCTCGTCTTAGACCAATCTTTGTGGACCAATCTTTGATTTTTCTTTAACTTTACGGTATGGCCCATACTTTAAAGATTTGTGCCCGAATAATGATGGCCTGCCAATAGACGGCCAATATTTGCCTGTAACTTTAGAGTGTTTAATGGACATGGGCTCCCCGTAGGCCCAAATACTTGATCATTTTTATATGGATTTGGACATAAATTAAGACCTCGAATTTAGGTGTAGGACAAAATAGGATGAGTTTGTATACTTTTTAATAAAAACTGCCAATAAATAATCTATGGAAGCACAAATAATCAATGTTTCTTCCGTCCTAAAATGTTCTTTCATCTTATTATTCACACAGTTAAATTTTAACCATTGTCTTTACCTATTTTCGTCATTTATTTGATAAAATAATATAAGCTTATCACCTCTAGTTTTGTAGAACTTTTGATTTAGTTTTTAAATATATAAATACGGAGTATTATTTTTTAACTGTACACCTATAGTCGAATAAATTAAATTAAAAATAAAGTTAGTCAAACCTCGTAAACAAAAATGGAAAAAATATTTTAAGACAGATGGAGTATCATTTAGAAGAGTCATAATTACGTCGCTCGACCATAAGTTCTTTGCTTTTGCCTATATTCAGGTGACATATTGAAAATATACTCTGTAATTGTTTGATAACTTTTGTTCATGCTACAAGATGTAGCTAGTGCTATTATGTACTCTATTCGTTCTACAACAAAATCACTCTTTTCATTTTTGTTTTCTAACGCGATCAGGGTAACGTTAAACTTCAATCTGAGACGACTGGTCAATAGTGAGTGAGTTTTAATTGTGCCGTTTTTTCATTGGCGTTATCAAAAATTTAATCTGAAATACTTTCTTTTTGTATCGGTTTTATCAACTAAAAGATAAGCTTCATCCCCATGGGTCTCCTCTAGGACCTGGCCAGAAACGGGCACTGAGAGAGGAAAAATTAAACTTTTGTCGCAAATTAGTGACAAAGAATATACTCTACTTGCAGAGGCTATATGCTTAGCATAATTATCTCACAGCACAATTGTCAGAAATCGAGCTCAAATCTTACCCATTTGACATTAATTGCATTTGCCAACTACGCGACGCCCTACATCGTATGAGTTCAGAATTACTTGTTTTTGTATTAGTCTTACCAACTAAAAAGATAAGCCACATTCATGAGGGTCTACTCTCGGACCTCACAGGAAACGGTTACTGAGATAGTAAATTAAACTTTGATAGGAGACTGGTGACAAAGAATGTACTCTGTACTAGGTACTTGCAGAGGCTCTATGCTTAACATAGTTATCTCAAAGCACAATTGTTAGAAATCGAACTCGAATCTTATCATCTGATATTGATTGCATTTGCCAACTATGCCACACCCTCCAGCGTTTGAACAACTAAAGGTTGAGTTGGTGAAGATGTAGAGAGAAGCAAAAGGAATGAATTAATGAGAAAATTAATGTAGAGTTAGATCCTCTCTATGCTCTCAAGTGTTTGGCGTTTTACACTAAAATGGAAGCATAATTTGACAACACATTGACACTCCAGCTACTGCAGGCTACGAAAGGTACGTTTTGTGTATAGTAGACATTGCATGCCTAAATATTAATATTTCTAAACAGTGTTTTTAATTATTGCAAGCCCTATATTCAGCCATGCATCAATTTCATCTGCGTTTACCAATTCCCCATAACTCCCTCAGTTTTGCCAATAAGATGGAAAAGAGGGTTCGCAGAGATTAGGTTAATTAGATGGCAAGGAAACTATGCAAATTATGGTTTGACTTAATTTTATTAATGGTGATATTATGACATCTTTCATCAAGCTCTAGCATTTTCTTACTGTGAATTATGTAAATTTTGGTTTGTTTTAGAATAAAGTTAAGAAATATCAAATTTTTATAATATTTAATTATTTAAAAGTATACTTAATTCATGGTCAAAAGGTCACGTGTCACAGTTTGACCAAAAAAACTAAATCGTGATAATGTTTTAGAGATAGAGGGAATATGTACAATATAGTCTTTGAGGATCCACCTTTGTGCTATGAGGGACATCCACCCCGGTCAATTTTTTATTTTAAGTATATGGTGTAGAAATTAAAAAATTTTATCCCTAGTAAACAAATTTGTGCGTTAGTACAAAAATAATTCCAAAAGAAAAATAAAATTATTTAATTAGAATATACGGAGTATATAAAGGAAAAGTATTTGTAATATTATAGTTGTATTAAGGAACGAAGGTAGTATATACTCCGTAATACTTTACATATAATTCTTTTAGTATTATAAGAGCACTGGAAATACCCATGAAGCCTCGGGGCTTTAAACCTTCTCTTTCTACCTCGGAGCTTCAAACCTTTATTTTTTACATTTTAAATACACATCTTCTAAAATTAAATTAATAAATTTAATTATTTAATAATTTAAAAGATTTGAAACGAGAATAGTTCATTAATAAAAATTACATTCATTACTAAAAAATACATTCGTTAAATAAAAAATTACATTCATGAAAAAATAAATAAAATACTTGAATAACAATTTTTTAAAAAAGATGATAGATAGAGAGAGATTTGTAGTTGTGTTAAATTTAAAAAAAATAATTTAATTTATAGAGGAAAAAAGAAGGGATAGGAGAAGGCGTTCCAACGCCTTCAAACCACGAAAAAAATTGATGCAAAATCTACTCCGATTTTACCGATGGTTGCACAATGACAGAAGCTATTTATATCGAGCTTAAGAACAATAAATTTGAGTTTTTCGTTGAATTAAATTGGTTCATCACACGTGTTGCTTTGTTTAGCGGGCTAGAGATGGAGGGAGTATAATAAATCAAGGCTAGGGGGGGACATTGAGCAAGGGGGGACATTGAGCAAGGTAACATACATTTCAAACCCAACATGCATGATGCACCCACATACTTCTATACAAATTAAACCCTAGCTAAGTATCCAAAACTAGCCTTCCATAAATACGAAAAAAAAAAGATAAGTCTCATCCCGTGAGGGTCTATTTGGGCCCGGTTGGACGATCACAAAGAGAAAGTATTTAAAACTTGATTACAGATTGATAGTAATTAAAGAATGAAGCCTGCATTTGGTACTTGCACAGGTTTTATACTTAGCCTAGTTAATTGCTTCCTAACTTAGTTGTCAGGAATTGTGATTCGTGTCTTACCTCTTGGCACTTCTTACTTTTGTAAACTCTACAACTACCGTCACCTAGGGATGTAAACAAATCAAATATTTTAAATTCGATTCGCGATTCGTATTCAAATATGATGATTCGAATTCGCGTTATTCAAATACAAATTCAAATTCAAATATTATTTTTTATTTGAATATTAATCAAATACAAATACAAATAGCGATATATTCGATTCGGATGATATCGAATATTCGAATATATGTATATATACACAGACCATGTTTTCAACATCAAAAGTCAAGCAAAGTAATATACTCCGTAGTATAAAGTGTATTTAAAATACTAAGAATTCAATAAATTAACGTAACACGAAAATCTAAAGCATATGATTTTTAATAGTTATATTTTATAAAATATAATTTGTGTAAGATGCAAATGTATTAATGTTTTTATATACGGAATATAGTATAGTATAAAGAGTATCGTAAGTTAAATTACAAATTGATGTTGGTCCATCATATAAATTACATAGTATGATTATTCAAATATTCGTTTATGATTCGATAACTATTCTAATATTAATCAAATACTTATTCAAATCTTATTATGAATTCGTCTCATATTCGGATTCGGATTCATATTCAAAAAAATTAAACAAATACAAATTCAAATATATCGGTATTGGTTTCGATTCGGTTCGTTTACACCCCTACCGTCACCCACCACCAATACGAGTATATATGGTTGAAGGAAGGAATAGGAATAGGAATAGGAAGGGAAGGTGCATAAATATAAATGAAGAAGGGCATAGAAACAGTGTAAATGTACTACTTTGAGACAAGACATTTCACGAACTTCCTTCTCCCCCCATTTTGACATCATTGTTTTTGTGTGTTATGCCCCCATACATTTGTCACTGTCACAACTGTTTTTCTGTCAACACAATATTTATTATTATTGGTCCAATTGAATGAATGAATTGCATGAAAACTCATCTCTTATCATTCATATCCCCCCCCCACTGAACCTTATAGCTCTCTTTCTTTCTTCATTCATTCATTCATTCTTTTGGTTTCATTATAAATTCTTGTTGCCCGCCGATCAGATGGATGGATCGAGCTCATTATTGTACGCTGCGTGCTCGCTTTTACCAATACAATATGTATATATATATATATATATATATATATATATATATATATATATATATATAGGCTGGCTAGCTAGCTATGTATATATATATATATATATAGACAACAATATATAAAACACAGAGATCATCATAATTATCATCTACTCTGTATCAAAGTTTTCCTTTGGTTTAAAAAACTTTTCACAAAAGTTTTATAATCCTTATTTTCTATTTAAGGAAAAATCTAGATCTACCCTATCATACACCAGCCTTCTCACAAACATGTACCCACACACACCAACTCTTTGTGTTCCACATAGACAATTGGTGTGTTAGAGTATATCTCACATAGAAAAAAGTGGGAAGATAATAATTGGTATATAAGCTCTTTCGTTGAATTGAACAATCGACTAGATTTAATGTTTTAATATAATCCAGCTTAAATGTCTTATGACTCAATTGATTGATCCCTTTCTCATCTCTATGTGTGTCTCTGAAAAGGCTTGTGTAAAGTAACTGGGTACACATAGCAAACCCTAAAAATCTTTTTAACCTACTTATTGCATCAAGTGTATTTTACGAAAATCAACACAAAAACATAACTTCCTTAAATTCATTTAAAGTCAAAAAGCTAAGGAAAAGGTTTTTAGGGACCGATAGAGTATGATCCGCCCCAAAAATTTCCTCTACTTGTAAAATCTCATCTCGTTTAAAACTTTGTTTAATTTACAAATTTGTATAGAAATAAAAAATGCAAATTACATCATTCAAAATCATATCAAAAGTTCTATAAACAAACTAAAACGTGACAAAAATATTTTATTTTATAAAAAAATCAATAAAATTGTACAAATAAAATAAATTACCGGGAGATCGAAATATAATACAGTAGCATTTATTGTTGGACAGGGGTAGTAAAACCTACACCAAGAATCATTTCACATTGGGAACTGACGGTGTTTGAATTGGGGGATGAGGTATTAGAAGGTGATAACGTATCAATTTTGCAAACAAAACAACGTATGTGTCTGATGTCATAATATGAAATTAAGGCCTAAGGTAAAAAAAAACCTTACCCGTGATAAAAAGGGCGAACTCATCCTAGGGTCTTCAAGACCGGTTCAGACATAAGCATAGAACGAGATATAGTAAATTTTAATTTTAGACGGATTAATAGAGTAAATATGTTTCTGGTTGTATTTGTAAGAATTTCATACTAAACATGATCGTATCTTATCATCGTTGCTAGGAATCAAACCTAACCCGAACATGATCTCTTCTGCATTGTACCCCTATATATAATGACCAACAAATATTCTAGCAAAAGTATTATATGATGATGCTAGGAATCAAACATAACCTAGACATTCTCTCTTTTGCACATTTGGAGGAGGTAAGGGTGAGGGGTTGTGGGAGTTAGGCGTAAGAATTATCAATTTTGTGAACGAAAAAATGATTCAATCTCATGCAGTCATGCATAATTTGCCATTAACTAGTACGTGACCAAGTAATTAATATACTGATGAATTTACACATAGTGCAATTAATTAAGTTACGGTACATTGCTGAAATAATACGATGAGTACGTACTAATATATAAAACACGTCCAATTCAAATTATTATACGGTAATAATAATAATAATAATAATAATTAATGATAATTATGAATAGGTGATTAATTAATTAATTAAGAATCATGCTCGATCTCAGAAGCGGGCTCGTCCTCTTCGTCGTCAAAGCAATCAATGCCGCAAGGGCAATGGGCGCTGCCGAAGGCCCTGATGTGGTCCTTGAGGGACCTCTTGTGCTTGAAGTCGGAGCCGCAGGCGCAGTACCAGAGCTTCCCGCAGTTCTTCTCGTGGGTGCGCCAGTCCCCGCGCACGGCGAAGGGCTTGGCGCACTTGCGGCAGGCGAAGGGCTTGGCGCCGTGCTTCCGCTTGTAGTGGGTCTGCAGGGTGCGGAAGTCCTTGAGCGGCTTCGGCCGCGGGTGGTCGATGTTGTTCCGGCACCCCGCCGCGCAGCAGTAGCACGGCAGCCGGAGCATCGCCGTCGGCTGCGTCCCCCTCAGCGACTCCGGGCCCTTCCTGTACTGCGACCCGTGGCCCCACATGTGCATCTGATGATTAACGAACGTTCATGCACCGTATACGTCATTACATGCAAAACAAAGTTTGTTCATTATTTAGTAAGAGCTAGCTAGCTACCAACATGATAGATATGGCCTAGGGCTGATATATATAATACAATGATTTTAAATCCGGACCATAGGTCGACACGGCGGGGATGACGGGTCCCGGGTCAACTCGGTTTTTTCCAAGTTCTTCCGGGTTTTGGGGGAGTTCGACTGGATCGGTTGTGTGTCCTGGTCGCGGTTTGACCGGGCTTAATAACACTGGTATAATACTCTCTCCATCTCATAAAACCGTTCATGTTTGGAAAAAGACGCACATTTTAAATGAGTGGTTTTGGTGTTATTAGTATAAAATAAGGACAAAATTAGAAAATAACATCAAAATTACTCGTTTTAAAAGTGCAACTTTTTTTTTAAAAAAAAGGAAGAATTTTATAAGAGGGAAAGATTTTAAAAAGTGCAACTTTTTTACAAAATTACATTATCTTTTATGTAACATTTTTTAATCTTTTACAGACATTACAGATATCCAACACCCGTTTTGTATGTGTGTTTATGAGAAAGAGAGAGTCAAAATGTAATATACTCCAAACATGCTTCTAATGTCGAACCATATACTGATCCGTACGTAATAAACACAAATTCATTCACATGAATTTGTTTTTGTGATTTGTAATTGTCATAAAAGTACTTAAAAAATCACCAGGCAAGACTAAATGAAGTTGAAACAACATATAGAGTCACTTCTTGTATGTGTCTCACTTCGTTTCTGTTGGTTCCATATTGTGTTGTCATTATTTTTTGACAAACGAATAAATTTACCGAGAATTATTTTAGATGGTTTATTTAGACTTAGAGTCCTAGCATGTGAAGGGAGAGAAAGAGGAAAGAGCTTAAAAAGAGAATTCTATTCCTACTTAGATTCTAATCCGAACTGCGCGAACAATTCTGGTGTCTTGCTTGCTGTTTTTACTTAATATTCTACGTGTGTGCTTGTGACAGAGAAGTGTTATAGCACACTGTCCGTCATCTGTTACTGTGATAGTGCTGCTGCGTCTTCTCTACAGCATAGTTGTTTGAACTGTTTGCGTAGCTTTCAATTGGTGATTTCCGCTACACCCGCACAAACTTACAGTTTCATTTTCTCTATTCCTTATTTTAACTTTCACTTCTCAAGGGCTTCACTAAATTTCTATTGTGTAACTTTATAATAAGAGGCTGAAACAAACAGCCCCTTAGTTTCTTTTAGTGAAATTTGCATTGAATAGGACCAAAATATAAGTCATTTCCCAATGTACGACTTAAACTTTTTTATTCCTTAAATAAGATTTAATAATGAGTGGTGAGAAAAATAATGTCCAAGTAATGCTCGACATTTAGTTGAATAATGACTAATATATACCAATGGTCCTACATTGAGAAATAAAAACATATGGTCCTATATTAAGAAAGACATTATGTTTTAGTCCTATTTAAGTAAATTATTCTTTATTTTACCATGATTGATGGATTGTATTAATTACTCCTCTCATCCCAATTTAATTTTTTTAATTTAATTTTTAAAATATAAAAAAATGTTGAAAATTATTGAGTGGTACTCCGTAATAAATAAAATTTGATTCATACTTTTAAATAAATTTATTTTGAAAATAAATCATTTTTATTTATAGTTCATGATCATAGATCAAATTTGGAGGCTTATTAACAGGGAGAGTACTTCCTAATCCGTATGTTGCTATTTATCTTTTCTAAATTGACAAATTGTCTTGGGCTTTTTTTGGCAGTCGAATTATGAAATGTATGCACATTAAATAATGTGTGCCCAACCTTCTTCTACTATTCTATTTACCAATTTACCCTAAAGACATAAATTTACCACGTTCTTCAAATCATAAGGCTCTATAGTTTACGAAGTAAACTTTAAACCCTAGATCTAAATGAAAACTCTACCCAATTAAAGTCCACTAACAAATTAAATAATTAATCCCTCCGTTTCAATGATTTTTGTTGTTGAGTCAAATTTTAACCACTTTTTTACTAATCATTTTGGTTACGTATTTGATAAAATAATATAGTTATACCACTTTTTATTTTGTACAACTCTTGAGATTTTATATATATATATATATATATATATATATATATATATATATATATATAACTAATAATAAGTTTTGTAAAATATCGTAAACAACAAAGTGAACAAACGGATGATTCAAATTTGAAAGGAGTGACTAAGCTATGAAGAAAGATGTGTATATGAAAAAAACATTATACGGAGTACTTCATTCGTCCCAAAAAGAATATATCACAGTTTACTATTCAAAAATCACGACAACTTTGGTTTATTTATACTTTTCTATCGATTATTTAACAAAATAAAATATTTTTGTCACCTTTGTTTTGAAAAACTTATGAAATACTCCTTTTTAAATATATTAATTTATTTTTTATTTCTATACCAATCTTTAAATAAAAATTGAAAAACTAAAAATTTTTATTTTGTTTTGCGTAATGTGACAAATATTTTGGAAAAGATGAAGTAATTAATTTGACAACACTCAGGTTTTACATGCTCTATGTCGGGCCTCAAACTAGCTAGTAAGGAAAGAAGACTAAAATAAGATTAAAACATAGGAAAAAAATAAAAAAGATATATATATATATATATATATATATATCCAAAATAAAACTTAAAATATTAATAATGGGAGTATATATTATAAAAAAGACTGTAAAATCACAATATACAATATCACATTGTCACAATACAAATATTTTGGATTTCGAAATTACATTGTCACAATATAAATAATACTCCGTATCACATTGTCAAAATAATATCACATTGTGACAATATCACATTGTCACAATATAAATAATATCATATTTAAAATTACATTTAATGTGGATTTCGAAAGAATGTAGTGTATATAAACTATTATTTTCAAAGTATATTGTTTCAGTTTACGATGTTTAACTAAATATTTTTTTAAATTATTTTACATGAGAAATCGTGAAAAATTTAAAAATTAAAATTACATATTCAAAAAAACTACATCAAAAGATCAACAAAACTAGTAGTAACAAGACAATATTATTTTATCAAATTTCTAACAAAAATAAAAAATAAAGTAAATAAAATTTGATATGTGAATAATAAACAGACAATTTAAATTAAGAAAGTGAATAGTTTCTAAAAGTGAAAAGGAAAAATCCAGTGAAGGAGGAGGGTATCATGCACTCCACTTATTTTGATCACTTCATTTTTTTGTCAATTAGTAGAGCCCATATAATATGAGGTTTATGAAAGAATACAAATGGTGTAAGTAATAATCCACTAATTGCACAAATTGTACTTTTAAACTATTGAAAAATACTATTGATGATGAAAAGTCGGCAACATTGAAACAACAAACAAATTAGGGGGGTGATTGGGACCTATTTAGGAGTCTGATTGGGTCAATTAAAAGTGTGTAAATGAACGTAACTAAAAGTAGATGGTTTGAGGTAAATGAAAATTGTAACATTTGATAATTTTTAAATTTTTAAATTTGTTTTATTTACAAACGGTTATAAAATAAAATTTAGATTTAAAAAAATTATGTCAAAAAATTCTAGAAGACAACAGGTGATAAAAATATTTAATGTTATCAAATAATCGATGATAACACAAAAAATAAACAAAAATTCATGTAATTTCCAAGGAGTGAAGTGTGACAATCTTTTGAGGATAGAGAGAGTATAATATACTCCGTATTAAACTAACGGGGTGTATTGTACCTGGATTTAGTGAGATTTAATTAGAAGTCGACCAAATCTAAAAGTTTAAGTGTATTTAATTTATATATTTTAAAATCCCTATAAATCTAGGAATATTAAATTAAAATTTTTAGAAAAAATCATTTGTAAAAATCTAGACATATTCAATTAAGATTTTTAAGAGTGAATAGCTTCTCTGAAATATTTTTAAAAGTCAAAATAGGAAAGAAATTTAAGATAGAGAGAATATAATAATAATCCGTATTAGAGTTCAAAAGTTGAGATCTCTGAAAATAATACTGCTCCGTACAAGACACAAATAAAGCTTATTACGATAGTCAAGAATCTTTTCAACTTCTCTTTGGCTTCCTTTTTTATTTTTATATTTTTCTTTTTTTGTTGAAGTAAACTCCCTATGTCTGCTTTTTTTTTAAAAAAAAAACCCTATGTTTTAAAATATTTTATCCGTTTAACTTTTACATATTTTTTAAAAAATAAGAAGTATTAAAAAGTAGAACATATATTTCTAAAATTTGTTTGGATAGGGGAAACATTTTGAGCCACATATTTATTTTTGTAAGATTCAATAAATAAATAAAAAATATTTTTTGGATGTTCAACAAGGAAAATTCCATGCAGATGCTCCCTCCATTCCAAGAAGAATATATAATGTCACAATTACTATTTCGGTTTCTTGATAATTTTTGTTTATTTACTCATTTTGGTTGACTTTATGATAAAATATTCTTTTTGTTGCATTTTGTTTTGTTGAACTTTTAATATAATTTTGAATGGATATTTTTTACGTTTTTATTCCTTTACCAATTCTTAAATAAAATAGTTTTAAAAGACAATATTTTTTTTATAGAGTATTTGTACAATGTCACATATGTAGGCACTAGCCAGCCATCATCTTTAATTTGTTGTCAACATCAACAACACACTCAATCATATAAAGAAACAGCAACAGATCTGATCAGATCAACTCTATGGTTTTTATTTATTTGGTGGATTTCCTTTAGAACCTATAGGGCTACCTAGGCACCAATATTGCCCTTGTCCTTTCTTTTTTTCACCTAGTCTAAAGTATTTTATTCTTCTTTATTCTTTAAGGTATCATCATCATTAATTATAAAGCCCATCTTTATTTGACAAACTTAACCCTAAAGAACAAAGTTGTCCATCTCCCACTTACCACCCTAACTTCTTTTTATTTTAGTGTA